TTTTCATTTTTAAGGGCTATTTAAAAATGTCTTACTGCACAGCTGAGACATCCTGCAAATAGGCTTTCTGATCAAGTCTGCAGTATTTACACTATTTTATCTGCCTCCTGTTGCTATACATCTGATTATATTCTTGTTATATCGTGCTACTTTAAGAGATCAATCCTTCCTCTCATTCTCTATAACTGTTTTTGGAATTTGTGATGAGGTTGTATATTTTTTGGTGATCCAGTCTTTCCTCAAGCTGTATCTACTTTAGTTTCACATAATGACCCATACACCCCTTTGTCTGCCACCCCTTGCTAGGTAATTCTGTAGGACTGACACCACAAATGCAAAGTGCATTCTCTGCTAAGTTGGGCGTTGCTGTTCATTACTCCAACTAGAGCTTAACAGCCTCCAAAGAATAAGAAACAGGTCAGGTAACTCTGTATGTATTTGCTTTGTTTGTGAGCTTTCAAACAGTTGCACTACATTTTACTTCGCTACTTAGCTTTTCCAGAGATTCCTGTCAAAACCTGCACAGACATAAATGTTTGCCAGCCCTGTGCCACAAATCTCATGTATAGTACAAGGCACGTTTCTGGGAGTTCCTTTGTCACACATAGCAACCATTATGGTGCGTCACTGGATTGGTCAGCTCACACCCTTCAGCTTTTGTGCCTACCTATCACACAATGGCTGCGCTACTTTTTCCCACCATGGGTGTGATAATGAAGACAAAGATGGATTGTCCTTTCCTTGGTGCACTCTGAAGTAAGAACATAAAGACGCTGAGTCTCCCTACACAGATGAATGCACATTTGTTGCCCAGCTTCAGTATTTTATCACACTTATGGTTAAAACTGGAGCAAACTTTTAAAGTCATATAAAGCAAACAGTTTGACAGGTTTTACTGTCTTGAATGATATTTAACCTCCGTGACCCTGTACGCAGGATAAGCAGTTGACGATGGATGGAATAATATTTAACACCATGAATCCATTTTGTGTACTGGCTTTTCCTGCTTCTGTACTGTGACTGAGCTATGTTCATAATAATTTCAGAATTTGACAGTACAGTTGATAACATCACATAATGTTCCTCTTCCTAACATATCTATGGATATTTGTGATGATTCTGTTCTGTTATTCTATGCCAGCCACAAAACAGATAACTAGAGAGACACCCACTTGGTGCCATTAACATTTGATTTCAATAGACTCCTAGATAAACAGTTTAATTATTTATATTTCCAGTGTCCCTGTGGACTGAAAAACAACAAAATTAATAAAAAGTTAAAAACAATTATTGTGCTCAGTTTAAGCTTTTCCTGTTGCATGCAAAATTATAAAGGTGAAAGTATTATCAGATGTCACCAACAAGCAAAGCTTCTGAAAATCCTTTTTTCCTGTTACACATTTACCAGAAAGACCTGTCCAAAACATGTTTCAATTCTCTTATAGAATTCAGGAAATGTCTTTTGTCATTTGAGCTGGTGGCGTACACAACAATAAACTGCTGGCTGGCTGTAATGAGCATGCTGGCGCTGTGATTGACTCACAAAAATGCATTAGGTGTTCCATTACAGCACAGCATATTGGCTAAGGTACACATTGCACAACAACATCTGTTCTCTGTGGCATACTTAAACACCTAAGAAATGCAAAGCTGTGCCCAAACATGAGAAACATGCTTAGACAGGAAAACAATTGAAACAACTTGCCAGAGGGTGTTTAACCTGCAGAATGTGAACCAAACCAGCAAAAAAAGAGAAGTCAAACTAGAATTGAGTTTCTCATTTTACTTGACCTAGCAGCTATTCCCAACAGATTAGCCAAGAACATTTTTTATTTCATAGCTGAACATAAGTTTCCTACAATTACATCCAACAATCCAATCCAACCGTTAAAGTAGTAACATCAGGGGCAAGTGAGGAAGACCAGAATGTTGTGCCAAAAGACGTGTAAGTATTGTGGAGGAACCTTAACGATCATGTGAGAATGAAAAAAAAACTATACATACAGTAAAACCACTATACTTTGTAAAGGAGGCTCAAGCTAATTTCTGAAATTGTTACGCGTTGCACAGGTTTCAATTATCTGGCTCTGAACAACACTGCTGTGTCTCTGATTTTGTCTAAATATATGGAAAGCTTAAAAATCTCCAGTCTGCTACCATGGAAACAGAACACAAGAAAGATGGACCTGGCATTCAGATAATAGGCTGAACATGATGAAGGAGCAGAGACACAGTGTTGAGTTTCGCCACGCTGCTGCTACCAGCTGTGAGATCCTGTCACTTCCTCCGGCATATAAAAATAATAACCTGTAGGAACAAGGCTTGTTTTTGCCCCTAAAACATTTCCTGTCAAAAAAACAGTCAGGGTATGATGTTACATGAATTTGCTGCTAATATTAGGGATGTTTATTAAGTTTTATTGTGTTTTGTGTATTGTATTGGTTTTGATACTGATACTGATATTAGATACTGATTGGTAGCCAATTCCGAATCTCTTTAACCATTTTTCAGAAACAAAACTTGTGAAGACATCTTTAAAATGTGGGAAGAATCATTCCTTCTTCTCACAATGCTTCACACCATTTCTGACATTTTGACTCATTGTTAATGTATATGATTATTTGATAAATTATTGAAACTGATTATATCAGTCACATTCAGTACAAATTCGCAAGTTATTTCTATGCCTCATATAAAAAAAAACAGTATGATGGTTGTTAATATACAGTTTAAGCCCCTGTTGGGGAGCAGCATTCCCAGTGTGGTGTCATTCTCAAAGTACATTACGTATGTAGCCATAGACAGTCTTAGAGGCATTTGTGTTCTTCGTAGAGGGATGCAGTCGGTCCTGAGGGTGCCCATCACAACACTGGCAGATGGCCATGCCTCAAACCAAGTTCACCACAATCAGTCCTTAGTGTCATTTGCATCCCTTTTCGTGGACAGTCATCACATCTTGACTGGGAAGACCCATATAAGCAGCATTTGTTAAAATCGGGTGACTCAGTATAATGCTGTAATTATTTATATTAATGCTCTACTCCCCACCCAAAGGGGATCAGGTTTTCCCTTCGAGTGTCCTTGAGCAAGATGCTAAAAGCTTGAGCTGCATTCCCGTTGTAAGGATAGATATGTCTGAAGCTAAACATATCATTTGTCACTTCAACAAAGTGTGGAGAGAGCGTAACAGGAGAAAACAGTGTCTTGTAATGTGTAGTATTGGCTACTGTTTTCCCCAAAGCACACATTGTTGGGAGACACTGAGGAGCTGTTGTGTTGCCAGACTGCACATAAGGATGGTAGAAGACTTGGGGAGGGGCTGGCATCACATGTGTGAAAGAGTGTACATGTTGTGGCCTTTTGGTGCTTCTTATGAGGACAGATAAAAAAACAAACATGCCCTTTTTCCCATACTAAAAATTACTAGATTAATTGTGGCTTCGTGGGAAAGAGGATGAATGTGAACTTGTGCCAGTCCCTCAGCAGAGCCTATTGTTGTTGCTACAGCACAGCTGTTATGGTCTATAGACACATTGCAGTTACGTAATCTCTCTCCCTTTCTCTCTTTCCACACGAGATACAGCTGCCGTCCCTGTGCAGCAAAATGAGGTAGAACAGTCTCATTTTTTCCCCTCTTTAAATAGATGGTTAAATTAGCTTTTCATGGTGACAGCCTCCATATAGTGCATCCTCGTCAATGCTGTGGTTTACATTCAGTGATGTTACAAACACCAAGGCTTGCACAGTGTTAAGCTGATGATACACAGAGCAACTTTTAGAGCAATCGTGCTGGGCAACTTTGCCGTCAGTGGTAATGAGTAAAGATTACTACTGTGATCCCCTTCCCCCACCACTCCACTACCTGCCCCGCACCGCCGCTATCCGTTCAAAACATAGTCGGACTTGCCTCCAGCAAGATTGCCCAGCAACATTGCTCAAAAAGTTGCCCTGTGTATTATCAGCTTAAGTCTATGACACTATAATGATCACAGTCCTGAATTGGCTGATATGTTGACAAAATGTTAACCTTTAAAAAAAAAAAAAAAAAAAAAAAAAAAAACTTAAACTGATCATTTGTTTGATCATAGCTTCACAGCAAAAAGCTATTTAAAAAATAGAGGCCAAACTATTGTACTCAATAAATCTACCGTTTAACCCTGCAGCTAAAGTTATTGCTCTTGTCTCTTTAGTTTAGTGTTCAGTGTATACCTGTCACCTCTGATTAGTACAGTGCATCAGGAGACACCCAACTGACGGCAGACACGTAATTCTAACTGTACTTTCTAACATAACCTAGCATTAGGTTTGCGCTGTTAAACCCCAGCATTGATTTTAAAGACATTCTGGATGCTGCAGCTGCTGATTAAAATCTGACCGACCAGAAAGTAAATCAAATGATCTATTCTTGCGACACAGCAACACCTGAGGTCCATTTGACAAGACATGATCGGTCTTGTCAGGCAGGAGATATTCACAAGAATTGCCTCATGGCAGTTTAACATTGGAAAGCTGTTAGTACAGCTGGAGGTAGTGCTCATACTTAAAGGTTGGCTGAACGTGTGCCTGGTGCAATTTCAAGGCCGCAAGTTTCTGTGCCACGCTGAATATGCAGGACTGCAAGGCTGTCCAATTCAAATTAAGGTGGAGGTGCAAACACTTGATGAAATTAGGAGTGGGTTCATAAAGTTATGGAACAGCCTACCACCCCCCAAGATTGCCATTAACCTTATCCAGGAAGTGCACAAGCAGTTGAATCCAGCTGTACAGGATATAGGAATGCCACATCAGTTTACGCTCATCCAGAATCCAAGCAAGCAAACTGTTTAAGTATAACCACTTTTAGTTGTGCCAGCACCAGAGACAGATGCAACACCTACAAAGTGCTCCCACGCTGCCAGAAATGCTTAAGAGTTGTTTGTTTTTTTAAACTCGGCTAGTAATGCAGGCTGGGAGGCGCACAAATGGTGGACCCCCAGTGTAATACCACAAAGACACATTAAAGTCAATTTACATTTTATTTTGCATATGTGACAAACTTGTGCATTCCAGATTTTATACAAAAAAACCAAAACACTGCTTTGTGAGCATTTACAAGTGGCCAGAATAGGGCTACAACTCTGTAGGTCCCCTCAGTTGTTTCATGACACCTCTTCAACCGCACTGGCAAAGCAGCCACAGCAACAGATGAACAGGAACCCATGCTGACAAAACCTTTTATGTGCAGGGGGACAGCTAGACAAGAGTGGTGTGGGGGAAGAGTTGTACAGCCATTGTTTGTCATTTAGTAAGTACTTCAACTTCATACATGCTGGAACACATTAAGGGCAGGCTTGTGGAATGTACAATGCACAGGGGGACCAGTCTTCATTATGACTCAGTCTTCTCCTGTTCAATGGCTGCAAGAAGAAGAAGAAAGTTCTCATTAGTTCTAGAGGTTAACAGCAACTAATAATTTCTGGATTAAGGTCATTAGGCACAGCACATACTTTCTTTAGTTGGCAGTGTGTTTTTCTCCTGAGTCTCAGTCTTCTTCAGCTTGGTCTTGTCAAAGGTTGTGACTTCTGTGATGTCAGGTTTGTCAGCCATGTCTGCAGAGGCTCTATAAAAAAAAATAAAAAAAACCCCCACACACCTTAAATTGTGCCGTCCTGCCACGGAATTCAGTCAAAAGATACCCGAGCATGTAGACAGCTAATTAGTGGGCTCAATTAGAACTTAGAAGGCTAGTGTACGCAAAAAACTCAGTGCCTGATATTAGAAACGCTTTGTCAGTCAAAATATGCAGTTGAGGGACCACCGCCCTTTAAAATGAAGATGTGCAGATCGCCTTCATCTCCGACAATAGCTGCCCAACAAGTCGAACAATAGACATCACTCAAGTAAAGCACATAAGCTTGCTGAATTAGGGTTAACGTGTTGAACCGACAACATACAGCATTTTTAGTTTCATAGACTAAGCCACAAAACACCGTTACATTTACCCCTCTAGTCCCTCTAAACATTTGCTTCTATTAGGTAAGGCATTTTCGATTAATTCCAGTAGCTTTTTACACATCCTGCGCAGTTGACATCGTTTGATGTTGAGGCAGAACAGACGATGAGGAGAAACGTTATGAAACCTGAAGACTAAAGTAAACGCAGGCTCGAAATACACTTGCACACGGCCAAATAAACAACGCACTCACCAGGATTTTGGTCACAGAAATAACAAGATGCACGTCTTGCTGGCACAGGAGCAGAATGACGGTTACGGCGTCAACCACGCTATAAATACTGCGCAGTATGCAAATACAAATGTGACGTCACGTCCACTGTCTCTAAAGCCTGCTTTAGTACAAATATATTTTTGCTTCAAGTGTGATTACAACCACACGCTGGATGTACCTTCACCATATTTACAGCTTAGCTGAGTCTGTGCATTTATTTGAGAGGTAAACGTGCGTTTAGTCAGCTGTGACCACCTGCGTCAGATTAGTTGAGTAAAAGGAGCCTTCTCCCGTCTTAGTAACGTTAGGAGGCGTCTTTATCATCATGGCGGCTCCAGGTGTTTGTTGATGTCACAACGCGAATAAAAGCTTTAGGTTACAAAGTGCTTTATGAGTGAGGCAATGAGTCAACTGGTTTAAGTTTAACTTGCACACAGCGCCCTTTCAAAAATGTATCAGGGACGACACCGTGCGGTCAATCAAAGTAATAACCAGGACGTAATGCAAGGAAACGCGTGTAGTGTAGTGCAGTACATGGGGGACCTGTAGTAGGAGTAGTGTGGATTTAGAATTTAGATAACTGCTGAAAGTTTTTGTTGTCCAGTTTTTGTTTTTATTCTCTAATAAGTTAGCCCATACCAACCAGCAATACACACTTGAAATAAAGGAGAATGAAGTGCATTTAGTTGTCTTACAATTATAAACCTTGAAGATATTTTATATCTCAGATGGAGACCAGAAAACAGACTGAAACATTTTACGTATACAAAATGGGCTGATTTATTCATATAATATATGTAACATTTGCGAACAAAATACAGGACATTCTGTATCATTCTAACTGTATCAGCACAACATTATGAAATCATTTCTGTGAAGATTCTCAGACATTCAGGCCATAGTTCTCCAAGGTGCATTTAAATCAAGGGCAACTGGACTTGTAGCCTATGAGAAATGAAACATCTTCAAGCAACCTCAACCAAGTCCAGTAGCCCTTGATTTGAACCCACCTTGATTGTTTATTTTTCTTCTAATAAGACTCAGGCAGTGATAAAAGTTGTGATAGACCACATCAGCTTTGATACAGAACAAAAGTTTCAGAACAGATATTGTCCGCATAGTAAAGTTAGAAATCATCCCCAGACAGCTGGTCTTTAACATGAGCACTGCTTCAGTTGCTGGTGAAGTACTTTGAATAAGTCTTGTTGTATATCACCTGATTGTCTACTCTGACCACATTCCTCAAGTTTTGCCAAAACCAGGGCTCTGCAGCAGCTGTCCTCGGCCACTCCACAATACTTTTCCCACACAACCTCCTCCTCAGGCGCAGGAAGTGAGAGTGCTGCAGGACGGGCTCCAGCATCAGCAGCACGATCACATCTACATTTTCATCAAGCAGTCTTTGGTGGGCCAGATACATCGCCAGCTTGAAAACCCCAGTCTTAACATAACCCTCTGTTAAGACAAACAGTGTCTTGCGACTGTATCGGATGCTCTGGGTGAGGTTATCTACCAGCGGGACCCCTGGGGGCCAATCCCTTTCCTCCAGACACAGAGGAAGATGCTTCTCTCCTTCCTCTTCCAGTTTAACTCTTAGATTCCTCATCACCCACTCAGAGACATGTGGATCTCTGGTGTCATAAGTCACAAAGACATCATAAACACCACCCGGTGAGTTCAAGGACCTGTATCCTTTCAGCTTAGCTTTCATATAATGTAGGACGTAGGAAGCATCCCAGTAGAATAAATGAGCAACTGTTGCCACCAACATAAAGACGATAATGAAGGATTGTGTGAGAATGTAGATCAAGAATGCCTGATTGTCATTTACACACTGGTTAATATCAAAGTATATCAGAGCTTGATGCTTTTGGTTTGCTGGTGTGCTACATGTCACCTCAGTGGTCAGTCTGGGGATCTTTACATCACTGTTTCCAATCCACACAATGAAATCTAATGAATCACAGGTACATTGGAATGGGTTTCTATGCAAAAACAAAGTCTGAATCTGATTTTCAGGTCTCGGTTGGAAGGTGGACTGATTGATGATAGTCAGTTTGTTGTAGCTAAGGCTAAGAATCTTAAGGCTCTTTGCACCATTTAGAAATCCACTGTCCAAGTGGAAAATGTGATTATGGCTCAGGTCAAGGAAAGTCAAACTGTGGGTGACATTTGAGTTTATACCTGTCACATTAGTTAAAGAATTAAAGCTTAGGACCAAAATTTGAAGTTGATTGAAACACTTTAGTTTGTCCCATTTAAAATCCGTAAGTGAGTTGTGACTTATGCGTAGTATGGTGAGGTTGCGCGGCAAATATTCATAAACCTCCTCTGGAATCTTTGCAATGCTGTTGTGGGATATATCTAAAATTGTCAAATTAGTTAGATTAGTAAAAAGGGTCTTGTATGAGCCATCTCTTTCTTTCCAAAGAGTCCCAAGATAATTATTCTTAAACTGAAGTTCGGTTAATGATTTGCTGTACATCTGTTTTGTCGTTAATGTAGAAATGGAGTTATAACTCATGTTCAGCACTCTCAGGGCAGGCAGATTTTGGGTAAAATTCAAATTATGCGTTATCCCAAACGCTTTAAAGTAGTGGCAGTTGTAACTAAGGTCTAGTACTTGTAGTTTCTTTAGTTCATTGAAGGCGTTGTCATAGGCCAGATCAATCTTATTGAATGACAGATCCAGGTATGTCAGATTAGGCAGCAAGGAGAACTCTGTTCCATTAAGCGCAGCTGAAAATCCATTTCCTGAGAGGTTGAGACATGAAATATTTCCATAACCCTCAAATTGCTGTGGAGAAATGAAGAACAGATTATTTGAGCTAAGGATTAGCACTCGTCCAGAGTCAAAGCACTCTTGCTTGATAAGGCTGTGTGTTATCTCATAAGCAAAATCTTTTGGATGAGGTTTTATGAGCGGTGAAATAGAAAAGTCCATCCCCTGATTGTATCCCCCACTTGGATGTGGGGGACTTTTCACTGGAATGGGATAGAGCCTGTTTTCTGCTAGGTATATCATTTTCAGGTGGGATAAATTGCTGAATATGTTGGAATCAGAGTAAATTATGAAGTTAGTCCCTAAATTCAATGCAGACAGATTTTTGAGCCCATACAGAGGTCTGAGTGTGCCTGGTCCAATATTCTGGAAGACCAAACCTTCCATATGCAAAGTTCTAAGTGACACAAGATTTGCAAACTCTCCTGAAAGATTTAATGTTGTAGGATATGATTTGAGAGCAAAATTGAAAGAGATATCAATTCTTTCTAGCCTGGGAAGGTATCTTAGAAATGTTGCCTCCTCAGTAATTGCTTTTAATAAGAAATTAAATGACAGGAACAACTCTTTCAGCTTGTTAAGCCTCTGAAACCACGAGGGATTTAGTAGCTCCAATGAGTTTCCTCCCAGGTTCAGTGACTCGAGATGTGTTAGACTGTGAAATGCATTGGGATGGATGCTGAGAGAACTGTTTTGGCAAGGAACACAGGGATATGGAGCATTTTGACATCTTGGACAGTTCCCTTGTATTTTTAGGACTTTTAGATTTTGTAGCCCCAGGAAATCATCTTCAGATATGTATTGTATTTTGTTGGAACCCAGTTTTAAAAAGCATAATGATTTAGGTAACCCTTTGGGAACTTGAGTTAAGTTGTTAAAGGACAAGTCCAGAGCCTGCAGTTTGGTCAAAGCTGCAAAACTCTCGTCCATAATCATAACAGATTTCCCACAAGGATTCCACATGTAGCAGTTTCTGGATAACCATAAATGTGTTACGTTTGTTAAGCCAGCCAGGCTGCTGTTATCCATGACCAAAATCTTGTTATTGTGTAGCTCAAGGATTTCCACACTGGGAGGGAGATTGCCGGGAATTTCAGTCAGACAATTGCCAGAGAGTCTTAGTTCGTGCAGTTTTGTCAGATTTCTGAAAGCATTCGCAGCAATTATCAGTGCCTTGTTCTTGTTTGCCCAGCTCAGATTGAGTCGAGTCAGATTCAGGAGGTTGGAAAATGAATTGTCTGAAATATTCTTAATGAAATTTTCTGATAAGTTGAGCTCAGTTGCATTGTCAGTTATCCCATAAGGTACTTTGTGCAGATGGCGCCCTTTACAGTCAAATAGCACCTTAGAGGTATTGTAGGCTGTGACATCACAAGGGAACTGCCGTGACATCCACACAGGTTTACACACAGCAGGCTGGATGTCATTATGGTAACACAGAAGGAAAAGCAGCAAATGCATCCAACATATGGCGGTCTGTAGATAAACAATAAAATAGGTCATATGGAGTTAACTTACACAGTATGTCATAACATACAGTAAACTGACTGCATACTGCATATCACCATTAATCATATATTACATCATACATTTTGTTATGTTAAAGCATAGGTTCACAAGTGTCTTAATAATGCTATAGTGCTATAATAAGGTGCTTATGTGAACCTTGAAACAGGTTTTGCAGTCTGAATAAGACAAATCAAATGGATATTTAAACAGTACAGGCAGGAGGATTGATTACAGCAAGCAAAACCTATTCAAATGTTCAACTGACAGACTTGACAAATTGTGAACCTGTACTTGCTTTCAAATATATCGCTTTCCAGAATGGTACCACCTGCATCCAGCAGGTGGCAGTAGGCTGTAAATTATCACTCAACTGGAATAACTGTTCCTGATATTTTGACAGAATTTAATTTGGATGATGATGATGATGATATGAATTACGTTAACCCCGTACAGCAGAGACTATGCTAAAAGCTACTCGAATAGCACAACTAGAGAAAAATGAATTGCCTCAGTAATGTCAGATACACAACAATACTTATCTAAATAAACTGTGCCAGCATGAGCTAACAAAATCCACCATGAGCTTCTAGTCATACCAGCCTAAGTAAGGCTGTAGCAGAAAAAACCCAGAGTGTAATTAAGTAACAGTGTGTTTTATTGCTTATGTTTGTATTATTACTTTTGTATTTCTAAGTAAGTATTATTATTGTACTGTTATTTAGTTGCTAGCTGTAGGTTGTTAGAAGTGTTATTTCAAACTGAGAGATAGTATTAAGATATATTCTGTAAGTTGTGAGTAAACTTTAATGTACTGTATTTACTTTAGAACACTTCATTATCACAAATGCAAATCAGCTGCCAACAAGTCAAAGTTTCTGGAGTGAAATAAACATATACACAGTTAGCACAAGTATTACTTCATGCCATGCAAGTTCTTATCACAGAAGCTTTACAGATTATATTACAGAAACATCCAATTAAAAAGCATGTGCAGTTAACCAGTAAATCCATAACACATGTTGATAAAACTTCTGATGAGTAAAACATTTTGTTAGATACATTTATTACGTGCTATACATGAAGCAAAGCTTAAAAAAGTACAGCAAAACTTGTATCATTGAAACTCACCATTGCGCATGTACTGTACTGATGCCTTATGATCCTTGTTGCACTGGTAAAACTGACATGGAACTATTTGTAAAAAAAACTATGCTATGTCTTGTTTGTCATCAAGTTATCACAAGTTGAAATATCCTGCATAATCTCTGTGTTCTTGATCTTTAATATATAGCACACAAAAAAATCCCCCTGTTGCTCAAACATATAAAGTCAGTCATAAAAGCAACGATCTGGCTGGTTCTCACAATCAGATAGGCTCTGGGACAGAAGTACGATATGAAGTGAGGAAGTACATCTGTTTCATTTCCCTGTTTCATGATATGTTGACAGTTTCATTGCCATCTCAGACTAAATGGAAATTATAATCCTCTGTGGAGATGGCAAAGAGTTATCTAATGAGTGAAGGTAAATAGGGAATTTTATATCAGCACACAAATATTAATAGCACAAGCATCTTCTTTTTCTTACATTTAAATGAGAGTTCACATTATATTCAAATTAAACAGAAGTACATTCAGAGCAATTAAAATTTATGGAGGAACCATGTTTTACAGCATAATGTTCAATTTACAATGTCTCTTTGAAGAGATTGTTGTATTGTTTGTGACTTTCCGTTGCTAATACACTTCTCAGGCTGAACCAGAAGTACGGTTGGGCTTGAGGGTTTGTTGGCCACTCCAGCACAGACCGCTTGTAAAGTCTCTTCCTTAATTTCAGGTACTTTGAATTGCAAGGTACTTTCTCAGGAAGATTAGCACAATAACGTCATTTTTTTCATCCATTAGCCTTTGGTTGGCCATGTAGAAAGCTGTCTTGAAGTTGCCACTTTTAATATATTTGCCAGTGAGAATAAACACTGTCCTCTTGCTCTTATGGATGCTCTGCGAGAGGTTGTCGATCAGGGGACATCCAGGGATCCAGTCCCGTTCCTCCAGACACAGTGTCAGGCGGCGGTCTCCGCGGTCCTCCAGATGAGCGCACATTTCCTTCATCACCCACTCTGACACCTCAGGATCCTCCTTGTCATATATCACAAAGGCATCATAGACAGAACTTTGGGAGTACAGGCGGTCATAGCCTTTGAACTTGGCCCTGCAGAAGTGATAGATGTACCAGACGTCCCACAGGAAAAGATGGCTGGAGATGGACAGGGTGAGGAAGCTGAGGACGAGGGAGGTCATGAGGGTGTAAAGGATGATTGACAGGTAGCTGTGCTGGCAGGCCAGCAAGTCCACTGAGATCACAGGATGACCTCTTTGTGCCCCCGGAGAAGCACAGGTGACATCTGTGGCCAGCCTGGGGATGGTCACTCTGGTCCTGTTGAGCCATGTGATAAACCATGTGGCGTTGCAAGAGCAGAGGAATCTGTTTTTGTGCAAAAGCAGCATGTCCATCTTATCAACAACATCGTCTGGAAAGCTAGATGCGTCGATGTGCTGTAAGTGGTTAAAACTGAGATCCAGATGTTTTAAAATGTAGGCATCCTTGAGGAAATCTGGCGTGAGTTTTAGGATTTGGTTCTTACGTAAAATGAGCTTTCTGAGAGATTCGGTGCAGTTTGACAGCACGGGTGGAACATGAGTTAAGCTGTTTCCACTGAGATCTAAGACTTTCAAAGAATGTAGAAGTTGTAATTTCTCCCAATCAAAGCTTGTTAGTTTGTTGTGTTTGATATGGAGCTCAGACAGTTTGTCTGGTAGACCGCTGAACACTTCCTTTGGAATGAAATTGAGGTTGTTTTCAGAGATGTCGAGGACAGTCAGATTAACTAATTTCTTGAAATAATTGACATATCTGAGATCCCCATCTCTCCACAACATATCTAACCGGTTATCTCTGAACTCTAACCTGTCTAGAGATTGACTCTCCAGCTCTCTGTTAGTGGAAGTAGAGATCTTGTTGTGATTCATCAGCAATATCTTGAGATTTTTCAGATTTCTAGTGAAATTCAACATGTGAGTCAAACCCTCGGACTCAAAATAATGGTTGTTGTTACTTATATCTAAGATGACCAGATTTTTAAGCTCTTGAAATGCAGTGGAGTAGAGCAAGTCCAGGCGATTTGAGGAGAAGTCCAGATATTGTAAATTAGTCAGATAGGTAAATTCAGAGCCATTCAGACTTTGGCTCATTGCATTCCCAGACAGATTGAGGCACCTTAGCTCTTCAAGATTTAAAAATCTTGAATGCAAAAAGAAAATGTTGTTTCTGCTCACATCCAGGGTTTTGCCAAACGCACTGCATTGGTTTTTGACAAAGGATGTAACAACTCCAAGTTCTTTATCTTTGTATTTGCAGCTGCGTGCATATTCATCATATCTGAAGTAATGAATCTCTCTCACTTGCTTACTTTGGTACTCAGCAGCACCCGACATGGGAGACCAGTACAACGGCTCTCCCCCAGAAAAACCAACAGCATCTTGGCCGTCAGACGGGGAAGATATTTTGTTGTCAGACAGACTGATTATTTTAAAGCTTTTTAATTCCATCAGAATACTGAGGTTTGTCATTTTAATGAAGTTCGTACCCAGATCTAAAACCTCCAAGTTTGTGAGGGGTTTTAAAGGAGCAATGCTCTCTGGAATTAGCTGCTGAAACACAAAGCCCTTTAGTCTGAGAATCCTAAGGGATTTGAGGGAGGAGAAACTGCAGCTCAGTCTCAGTGTTTGAGGGTACCTCTGAAGCTCATAGTTAAATGAAAGGTCCAGTTCTTCCAGTTTTCCCAGAAACTGTGGGAAGGTGGTGACTCCTATCTCTCTTGCTAAAAAGTTTGATGAGAGGTCAAGCACTCTCAGCTCTGTCGTGCTAGCAAACCACTCAGCTGGCACACATGTTAGAGAGTTACTGTGCATACGAAGCGTCTTTAGTTTTGTCAACATTTTAAAAGCAGTCTTGCTAATTTTAAGAGGTGAGTTATTTGGGCACGGGTTGCATGGGAAAGGAGCATTGTAACATCGAGGACAGTTTCCGCTAATATCTAGAATCTCAAGGTTAGTTAGGTTTTTGAAATCCTCATCGGTGACTTCTTGAATGTTATTGTTGTAGAGATACAACTCCTTCAGGCTTGTGGGTAATTGTTGTGGAATAAAGGATAAGTTATTTGACTTAAGACATAACAATGTTAAATTGTTAAGCTGTAAAAATGCACCATCCTCTATATCATAGGAAACATTACATGGGTTACGGTAGTAGCAGTTTTGACTGAGGTAAAGCATCTCTACATTTCTGATCCCAGACAGGTTTGCTTTAGAAATATAATAAATGTGATTCACTTCCAAACTCAGCAGGATCAGGCTTGAAGGCAGGCCTTTTGGTATACTGTAGAGCTGATTGCCATCTAGATACAGCGCTCGTAGATTCCTCAGCCTGGTAAAGGTATTTTCCTCTATTGTTACGCTCGCAGTGCACATGCGGTCCTTGGGGCCGATTTTGATGGGCACACAGTTGCACCTCATGTCAATCTCAGTCAGGTTCTCCAGACCGTGAAAGGAGGTGGAGTTTAAATTAGGAATGTGGTTGATGGTGAGTGTCAGATTGGTAGTGTCTCTGGGGATGCCAAAGGGGATATCTTTAAGGTTTCGCTCAGTGCAGTCCACTGTCACCCCACTGCCGTCGGTGGCCTCCCTAACATCACATGGCAGAGTTTTTGGGTAAGAAATGCTTGCTGTCGAAATGGTGAGACAGCAGCCCAGCAGTGCCACACACATCTGTACAGAAACACAGGTGGTTCACTGAGAAATGTGTGCAGGTGGAAAGCCGATAATACAGAAAACACACATAATGCACAAATCAAGCAGAATCACATGCTAAAATCATCATTCTGAGTAAGGTATATAGTACAGGATGTGCTACCTCACAATACAAGTAGGAACTGGTACAAGCTAGCGTTTCATTTTCCAATTCTCCATCTACTTTAAAGCCCTTCTGATCAAAGCCATCCTGCCATCACACTTCTTCTTAATGTAATATAATACTATACAGTATATGAACAAAGATAACGGATACTCACCAGGGGGAAGAACATTGTTCACGTGAGAGGTTGAAAAAAAGGTCCTGTTCTGTTCTGTTGTCAAGTTGGATCGAGTACTGAAAGGAGTGTAACATTGATGATCAGTTCTAAGGTGATGAGATGAAAGTAACAGGTGGCTGGGTTAGCCCATAATGTGTATAATTAGCCAGCATCACTTCCCTATTGTCACAAACCACACTCATCCAAATCTTCCATCTTTTACAGTGTATGTTTCATAGTGGTGGGCTGATTGTTGTTTGTTATAATAATGGTGCAAATGTTGCTTTATGTCACGATTACCTCAAAGAGACTTCCTTTAGAATAGAAGGATCAAATATATTAGACTCTTGCTCTTATAGTACAATATAATATAGCAAAGCTGGAAGAGTTGCCACCACCAGTGGAAAGAGCAGTTTCACTTCTGATTAGCCTGCTAGGGAAAGTGAAACCTATGCTTGGGTTTAGGTTTATCAGCTTACATGCTAAAAATGCTATTCTGGCACCCCGGGCAGAATCTTCTTCTGTATTCTGTGGCTACTTTGCGGCTAAGTAATTCTCACTCTCACGTGTGATCTGTCCAAACAGTCTTGGCCTATGTTTTGCCTTTTGTTTGGGAGACCCAAAGTAGGAAAAGACACTGTTTTGTTTTGAAAAAAACATGTACCTAATCAGCCTCTTATACAGTAAAAGGGCATGATGACAAATTTTACTGGCAATGTCAGTCTGTTTGTCTGTCACTCCACCACTTGGGTCTAGACTAGAATATCTCAGCAGCTATCGTGTAAGTTCCCGTGCAATTTGGTACAGATATCCATGGTGCCCAGAGAAGGAATTTTATTGACTGGCAATCCCCTGACCTTTCCTCTAGCATCACAAACAGGTCAGTTTTCACTTATCATATGAAATATCTCAACTTCTACAAGATGGATTGGCACCTAATTACATTTATGGTCCTCAGACTATGAATCCTACTGACTGTGGTGATCCCCTGACTTCTTCTGTAGCGCCACCACAAGGTTAATATTTGTGGTTCAGAGTGAAATGTATTGACAACTATTTGAAAGTTTGCTCTTGAATATGGCACATACTCATCACCCCTTCAAGAAGCGCCATCATCAGGTCCTAAACTAATGACATGCTAACAAGCTAAACTAAAATGGTGAACATGGCGAACATTTCCTGCTAATTATCAGCATGTTAGTACTTTCACTGTGACCATGTTAGCATTCGTGTAGCCCATGTTAACCCAGAGTATGGCCTCGTAGAACTGCTAGCATGGCTGCAGAATCAGGTGCATAACCATCATGCAACGTGCTTGTCTATTACACACATACCTTGGTGCAAACACTCTCTCACTGTGTGAAATGGGCCACCATCATTATTAATGCAAGAAGCATTACCACCACTCAGGCTCGAGTAAATAGTAAAAATCATGAATTATTAGCATAGTTTTAAAACAAAACATGGGTAAAGCAACTTTTCTGTATAAATAATGCAGTTTTAGGAGCAAACTTGTATACTTTCGAAAAGTCATTCTGTCAGCCTCTGTTTATCTGTTTTTAATGTTCGAGTGATCAACCGAAAAGAGAATTCACGATTAAGAATTTGCATTTTACCAATGCAAAATTAAGTACACAATATGGTATTGTATGAGAGCTTGGTAACAAACAGAACCACAATCACGTGGTTCATGTTTATTACAGAACCACACTCATGTTTATTTAAACAAAACAGAAAAAAATAATTTGAGAAAGACTTTTTTAATCTTTTTAATGATGTTGACAAAAATAACAGGAAAGTACTCAGTGTTCATGTGTAAAGTATGCTATTCATTAAATTAAGGTGAATCCAGCAAATGAAAGTCATATGCGTTACTTTTATCTGATGACGTCTTGTCCTGTGCAATGATTTGTCGAGAGCTCTAGATAGTGTATGCATTTCTCCAACAGAATATATATTTTTTACAATTTATAAACAAGGTATCAATAAGGTTGTAATAATCTACATGTTAAACCCCTTAATATAACCAATAAATCATTAAAATGATCCCTATTATGTAATATTAGATAATATACTTGTGAGGAGGGTCATATGCTTCTTCATAGAGGCCTTAATATAATCTATTTAAAACTTCAGTTCTTCATATAGTTTTATTTTTACTTTACATAATAAAATATTGTATACACAAGGCAAGATTTTTTTCACAGCAGTTCACATTGGTTGTTAAACCCATGTCTCTTACGTATGGCTTTAAAATCAATAATCAGGACGAAATAACAACAGTTTATTTGTTGACCAGTGTTTTCAGTGAGTGAGTTAGTGTGTTTATAATAGCAGACATGGTGGCAGAGTGATGTGTCAATGCATTCACACTTTGGTCATTGGGGGAACTTCCCGAAGCTGCCTCAGCAGCTTTCAGCAGACACACGTAGTTCATGACGACCTCATCCACCTTGGCTACCACCTTGCGCCGCTCGCTCTCAGTGCTCAGGCCTTCAACTAGTGACATGCAGGCTTGCGTCAGGCAGCAGAGTGTGTGGAAGCTGTGCGTCAGAGTGAGCAGTAACTCCTCTGGGTGGATGTACTCCACAGCCATCTGACTGCAGGCGCTGCTCAGCACTTTGGCCTGCATGAAAAGCAGCTGGGAGAACGTATCCATGTCAGCCTCGTTGACCTCGGTCTTCTCACCTCTGGACAAGGGGCCGACGCTGGAACGCAACACACTGACCATGTCTAAGGCATCCTTTCGTGCGAGTGCAAACCCTGTGTGAAGGCTGTAGGTTTTTCCCTTCATTGAATTTACACGAGCTAGCCTTGCTTTAAGGCTCGTGTCACTCGTAGCTGTGGCCATGTTACCCTGCTCAGCTTTATAGTCAGCTTTCAAGAACGAGTTTTCCTCTCTACGGAAACAAAGCGAGCTGACAGAGAACAGAGAATGTGACGGAATCCCATCACCTTCATTATCACCATCGGCATTTGTCTTTCTCCGCAAGAAGCAGTGACTGAATGGCCCACGACACCTCCATGTACCTGCATCCAGCCTTGGTGCTGTTGACTCTGGCAGCAACAGGGAGGCTTCTCTTTGCAGCCGTCTACCCGATGAATTAGAGGCGACTGAACCCTGGGACAAACTCTTGGGCAAGGTTTTGGCAGAGAATATCCTCTGTACTTTTGGGGGATCGTGAGACTGGAAATTCTGACCACCACTCTTCCCTGTAAGTGTGGCTTTGGTCTTCTCTAACAGTGCTTCTAAGCTCCTGTGAGCTGGCATTATTGTGCTCCAGCTGCTCCTGAGCATCCGAGCCCTGCGTGGCTTCCTGACGCTGCCTGTTGTAGGTTCACATGAAGATCCGCTTGAGGGGAAAGCCAGGGCGTGTGGGTCGGGCTCGGGGCTGGCCTGTGTTAGCCCGCTGGGCTCTGTGCTACTTCTTAATGATGATGGTGACATGGTTGTGGTGGTGGTACTGGTCTCTTTATAGAGAACTAAAGATGACTCTTCCCCAACCTTCTTCAGCTGTGTGCAAGCTACACTAGGGGTAGTAGGAAAACAAAGAGAACTGTTAAGCATCTCCCTGACAGCACATATTCATCTGTAATAAACTGTTTCATACAAGTTAATAACAGTGTTATACCGAGGCCTGTATGTACAATATTTAAAGAAATCTGAATATAATATGCATCTTTTCCTTAATTCCTTAAATGCTGTCTGAATTCCTAAAGGGTCTAATGGATGAAAAAAACTTAAGTGACATTTTAAGAAATCTCCTCACTGCAGGCAAATAAGGGCAGGAAAATGTTCTGAAGTAGTGGTTGCTTTTTGGCTTGTGGCCCCTTAAAACTTCAACATCTACTTGCAACATATTGTCATAGATAGTGTTATTTGGAGGCCTGAGGATGTGAAGGTTTTCTGATATTTTTTAAGGAAAAGACTCTTTATTATCTCTGATTTATCTTGGCAGCCCTAGGGGGTGTACCTACCTTCATTTTCAGAACCACTGTCCTAAAGAGTCAGTCAACACAAATCACATTCAGCGTATTATCTAGATCATTGATGCTATTATTCTTTGCTGTGAGCACCACAAATGAAATTCCATTCACCTACATTGTATTAGAGGGAGGCGGAAATCTCAGAGATAGATATTTCAAATAAAACCAAAATTACCTGCATGGCTAGATACCAGGAAGTAGATGAGAAAATAATTATTTTTGTAATTTGTGTGAACTGACCGTTTAAAATCTACTCCTGCCCTTATTTTCCTGTAGTGAGTATGCATGAAAGGAACAAAAGGAACATTTACACAAACATAGATGGGAGGCAGCACCCTCCTATTTAGTTTTACCTGTGGTTTCTTTTATCTTGGGCATTCTGTGACTTCCGTCCCGTGTAAACCCAGGCTCAGCACTGGTAGCTGCATGGATCTTTCTCAGCAGGGTCGGATCCATGGGATGGCCAACCCTCCCCTGACCTGGGGGCCCATAAGCTTTCTCCTCGGCGGTTACATAACTCAGCCCCTTGAGCGAGGACTCTGACAGTACATGCATATTTTCTGTGGCACAAAGGGGAGAATCCATGGGAGTGACACAGCTGCTGCTGCCTGTGCTGCAACCAGCGTCTATAGAGGAACACTGTGAGCTTTGGAGGGAATGAACGCCTTCGCTCTGTATCGATGACATGCGCTTGCTCACGTTGTATTCATATAACCGTGTGACTTCGTGCTCAGACGGCGGAATCTTAATGTGCTGCTGCTCATTATCCTGTGGAGTGGCCTCACCCTCTGCTGGGATGGGCCCTTTAGATGGGGAGCGGAGATGGGCTTTGAACTGTTGGCTTCTTTCATCCAAGTCCTGTTTCTCTCCCTTTCCTGTCAACCTGTCTGCGTGGGCAGCCTGTGAGTCATTCACACATTCTGGAGAGAGATTTTCTGCCATTTTGTTTCCGGGCGCTCTCTGCTGGCATTTTTGATGCCTGTCTTTAAAGTGAGTTCGCCCCAGATCAAGTTGATTCATGTAATAGGAATCTCTCACAGTGAAAGCGTTATACTTCCCAACAAGATGGGGGGGCTCGTCTTTAGTGGAGTCTTGAGAAGTCATGTGAGGTCT